TGAAAATAATGTTATGTTGTTTTTCTGCATTTCTTATTTACATTGAAAACAACGCGTCATACTTATTTCGACATTTTTTTCTTGAATACTATATAAGTACTATAAATCATTATGCTAGCTAGCGGTTCCATTAGTTGTGGTCATGATTATATGGAACATTGCAAAATATACAAAAAATGTGTGAAAAAATAGACTTATTTAAAACATATCTAGCTTTCAGAATCATATGGGCCTAACTGCTATGCGGAACACATTCATGGTGTACAGGTGAAAGTCACCTTTAATTGCACATAGAAATAATGTAACGCTTTTTTCAAGTGTGTGGGCCGAAACTATAGATGCACACAAATAAAGTACTACCACTACATCAATTTTAGAAGATTTTGTATCGTAATTAATTCGTTGGCCCTTTTTCAAAAGTTATAATTTAGTAAATTAGATCAATTTTCTCGCAGCTCTATAACGTTTCAAATCAAGAAGAACTATGATCCAGGATCGACCACAATCATCATTTTGAAATTTCTTTCTTCAATTTATTATTCAATAACTTCAATTAAGCCCCTCGTGACTCATTATTGTCAAGATTATCACTGAATGGGTTTACTGAACCGGTGCGAGCTGGATCTTAGGTACCTATGTATAAAAATAAATCTCGCACATATGTGCTGCACGTTTAAACTTCATCCACATCACTAGGTATTTCGTTGTTGTTGATGTTCACCAAAGCGTGCTGAATTTGGTCGAACCATTATTAACTTAGTTCTGCTCGTTCTGCTATCGTGAGCCCTATATTGACCGGCAAAAAGCACGTGCGTGATGAGCACAGCAACAGAACATCGTAGTAAAGTGTGCCAATGTGTTTGTGAAAACACAAAATTAACTTTGACTTTTCCCCCTTTTTGTGTTGTTTATTGTTTTCCGTAAATGAAAGTGTCGAAAAATTATTCACTCCCAACGCACGATGTGATGACGATCACGATGATGTTATTGTTGACAAATTTACTTTATTTAATTTTTTTTCCCTCTCTGATGATGGTGCCATTCACTCGTCGCCACTGGCGTATTCAGGAAGAGACTAAGCTAGCTCCAGGATAACAAAAGCTCTGTTGGGGTTTAACAAGCTTAGAATAAGAGCTTGATTTATCAAACTGGCATAGAAAGTAACTTGTCCCTAGTACCTCCCTAGCCTCTGGCTATTTGTTGTCCATTGTGGTGGGTTGTTTTCTTCCTGTGTCTACTAGCAGTAATGTGCTGACGGAACCAAAGCGGGAGGGGGGGGGGGGAGGTGGGGGTGCGAGAACGTGTAGACTTTGATGCGGTTTGCGTGATCGTTTTGGTTCAAAAATTAACATCGCAATTTGGAGCTATGTGGGTACAGACGTACCCGTAGATGTATTCGGGGGCACTTTCTACAAATATCTTTATTAGATTAACTATTTATATATTTATATATAATTTATTTATACTTACAATTCACAATGCGTCAACCAGCGCAGCACGATTGGTAGTGAGCTGTGGTGCTGCCTTACGATCGGAAAACACTGCTGTCCGAGAATATTCGTCGGATCGCGAGTCGCCTATTTTTAGGTGAAATAATATTCATTGAACCGGCGACGTTACTCAACGCGGAAGCATACACAGATATGACAGGCTTAGTTTGGATGTGGAACAAACGATGGTGAGAGCACACAGCCAGTCAAATGTACGTTGCAATATCGGTGCTATTTGTCATTATGAAGCCGCTTCTGTATACTGTATACTATATTGTGTCAGTGGGTTTTCTCACCTCCCGTCGTGTATCAACTCCTACATGGGTTGGAGTGTGTTTGGACGGCTAGAATTGGTCATTGTTGGCAAGGGTAGTTAGCAATGGAATTTTCCCAGAAGCAATCGAATTGATTCACTTAATTTGTGCTAGCCAATTTGCAAAATTTGTTTGACAGTTGATCACCAATTTTTACTGGATGTAGACTATCGCATGATACGATGCCCTCTTCTGTAATGAAAACTATAACTTTAATATATAATATATATATATATATATAGATATATTGGTATTCAACTGTCATCAACTTAACTGAGTATCCTCGATAAAATTAATCTTCAAACCGTCCTAAACCCATAAACTTCACACACCAGTACTTAACGAAATTGTTTGGGTACTGATTTTGAGGAATATAAAGCAAAGGTAGTGAATGTTTACTCCTTCTTGTACTACTATTAAAAACTGTTTCTAGAACGGAAGTTCTACGAAGCGTGAAAATCGCCCGAGCTTAACAGATTCGCTAATATAAAACAGAAAACCTACTGTATATCAAATAAGATATAAAGAATGGTCGAAAAACTGAAATAATTATTATAGCATGTGTGTGTGGCGCAAGCACCATATGTTGAACAGTGCCTTATTATGGACAGTTCGATGCTTACACGATTTAGTCTTTGAATCAGCGAGTACGAACATGATTATCTGCTAGATCAGGCTAAGCAGAATATACAGATAAGCACAACAATACAGTTAAATCTGACAATATTTATTAAACATAAAACTGTCTAACATTAGGCACTGTCTAATTTAAAGTGCTAGCACCGTAGCTTAAATATCAAATAAATCAACATTTTTTTCAGGCATTTTATCTTATTACCACCTTACCACAAAACTATAAATTGCTACATTTTCCATCAATGCAATGGGGAAATTATGTTGTCAGAAACAAATGAAGATAATGTTGAATAGACTGTATTGAACACTCGCTGCAGCCCACCTATACTGCCCATAAAAGCATAACAGTGCCAAATGGATTTTTGTCAGCAATGAGATATCAATTAGAATCGGTTGAAAACTACTGACATTTTACAAACAATAATGTTCAGAAAATATCGAAAAAAAAATACTACAACAAAACCAGGTTATCCCATTTTTAAGGCTCTATGAAGAAATAAATAAATATTTACTAGGATTTTTCTCGGCTTGCTGACAGATATGCTTTTATGGGCAGTATAGCACCGTTCATTTTGTCCGACGAAGTGGCAATATCAGCATAACGTTGTTACGGAGCGCTCGGGGTTTGACGTTGATGTTCACTTGCTCCAAGTTGCGTTCGCGACGAGCATAGTCCTTGAAGTATCTCTTCTAGCTCGGAGAGGCTCCAGATCGATCAACTGGCAGTGACTTTCATAGTTAGGCAAGTGGAACGGGTCTCTCCAATGTTGCTTCCTCAGAGCGAATGGAAGAAAACGTCGTTGAACGGACTCAACTCTCTCAGCACCATTGTTGTAGTTTAGAATCCAGACCACATAACAGTATTCCAGCATGGATCGCACCAGGGAATAGTACAGTGACTTGAGACAATAGATGTCCGAGAAAGTCTTAGTAATCCTATTAAGGTGGGTTCAGTCATATAACACAAAGAGTAAAATTTGAGGGAAATTTGTCATCAGTAGTGAATGTTGTTCCCATCTTGGACATTGTCTCTAAACCACATTTTTTTTCCATTAAATTGGTAAAAATGTGTGTAAGCCGCTTTTGTAGTATGTTCTCATGCTGCGTACTGCAAAACATCGGGGATAATACATAGTGGGTAATTTATGGTCGGTTGGCAAAACTAGCAGAAAGTTATTATTTTTCGGGGTCATAAGAACACTATATATCGCTATGATTCGACAAATTTCTGAAACCAATTACAATTTACAATTAAACTTTCAAATCGAATTGTAGAACTGTCAAACTAAAAAACAAATACTTTTACGTTGACGTTGGAAAAGTTTTGCTTCAAAAGAAGGCTGTTTCACCGCAATTTCATCGCAGTTTTCATCTCAAATACGAATTATTTTCAATTTAATTTCTTTTATGTGAAAGGAAAATAACCAATATTCATATTTATTTAAGTATTTTCTTAATATTCATATTTTTATTTTTCATTCACATCAGGATGTTAATATCAGGGATGTTGTCTTTGGTGAAGGTTTCCTCCCAGACGCCTTTCCTCCAACATGCAGCGGACTTAGTCGAACGAAAGTGCATCTTGTTTTCACTGCTGGCCGACGATAAGCAGCGAAACCTGGTGCGACTAAATCTTACCAGTATCCTATAGAAAAGAACATAATCTGCAATCCCTCCAGCGATACATTGCAAACGTTATTGATAGCCACCGAATGCATCTCTGCAGTGTGCTCTAACGTCCCAATATGCTGGCGATCTGGATGTTTTTAAAAATCATACTCGAAATATCTTACCTTCTGCGAAAACTTTACTCTTTCTCATTGCCTCCAGTACCGGCATCGGTTCCCCCGTCGTTGAATTTTGGAACTGCACAATTGATTTTCTGCGGTTTGATTCTAGTGTCTCGTACTATAGTCCTATTGGATGTTTGGACCATGAGGTGATTACATGTCGATAGTGAAAGAAAAACTTTCAACCCAAAGAAAAACAATTCATTTTGAAAATATTCGTATTATAAACTACCGAATTCGAGAAACTTTAATTTAAAATGTTAAAATTTTTAAAGATAAAATTTTTATTTTTTTTGTGTGTAGCCATTATTTAGGAAGGTTTTTTATGTTTTATTATGTGTTTTTCTTAGAGGGACCATATTGCCCCCATATACACTACCTAAATACAGCAGGTAACAGCAGCCGTGGCGCACTTGCATATTATTAAATAGTGCGTTGACTGCAACGGGCTCGAACCAAGTAAGACATACACGTCATGTTTATTAATATTTGCCAATTGCAGGAGTAGCCCTTCGATGGCAGACTTATCCCTTAATTCGCTTCTACTGAGAAAAGTGCTTAGACCGAAATCATCGTGCACAGTTTTGCTTATTATTGCTTTCCTTGCACGGTGCTCATACATAAACATTACCTACTTTCAGTTCATTGTACTGTACGACGAAATGACGAAGAAATCTATTTTTTTACTTGTTTTTGAATAATATATTGAAACACAACTGTATTGATAATCTGAAGGTTCACTATATATATTGTTATATTTTTCTTTACAGGTCGGAAGCGCTGAGTTTATGGCCCCAGAGGTGGTGGATTTGTTCGTAGGCGAATCGAACTACTATGATAAGCGTTGTGATTTGTGGTCGCTGGGCGTGATTGCGTACATTCTGCTGTGCGGATATCCGCCCTTCTCCGGCAACTGCGAGCAGGACTGCGGCTGGAATCGGGGCGAGAACTGTCGTACCTGTCAAGAGCTACTGTTTGAATCGATCCAGGAGGGTCGATATAGCTTCCCAGAAAACGATTGGATAGATGTTAGTGAAGAGGCTAAAGACTTAATCCGTGGACTTTTGGTCAAGGAGGCGCCCAAGCGTCTCAGCGCCGCTGCGGTGCTCAACCATCCATGGATTAAAATTACCGATGAAGGTGATTGCATCGATGGCGTCAATTCCGATGCAATCAAGGAAAAGCAGCGCCGACGAGTATTGAAGACACCGGGTATAATCCGGCGGTAAGTGTGTTTGATTTCTAGACTCTGTTTCAAATACCTAAGATATGCTTGTTTTTTTTTTTTTCTAGCAATCAATCGGCACGAGAGCTGTCGCACTTTGCTGAATCTGCGATGGCCGTAAAGCGTGTCATTCTGCAGCATTTTTCGATGCGCTACGACTACATGACTAAGGAGCGACCCAACATTTATCAGCCTTCGGTGCAGCAGCAACAAGAGGTCGTAGCTCCTAAGAAAAATGCAAACCCAGAACCAACGTCCTCCACGCTGTCTCCTGCGGTTGGATCCGTGGAGGTAGAAGTCACGGATCAGCCTCTAGAGAGGAATACGTTGGACGTAGTGGTTCGAACTGAACCACAACCGTGCCCACCTTTGTCTGCCAGATCGAGCATTATCAAGGTGCAGGCCGGTGACCGGTACCATGTGGATGCGGATGAAGGTGGCTCTCTATCACCTTCCCCATCCACATCACCATCGTCAGTGTCATCATCATCCTCATCCTCATCATCATCGACTGACGATCATCATCGCTGTGATGGAGATGCTGACTATGTCAGCATCAGGAAGTCATCATCGGCGTCTACGTTGACACCGGACGCTTCGCCGAATTCGATGACACCGTCTCCAATTGCCACCGCCACTAGTCAAGGTGTCAATGGGCTTTCTTCGTTATCTTCTCCTTCCCCTACTGTAGTTGTAAACCCGAACAGTGGTTCTGACAACAAGGAGAACAATTCCACCCCTTCAGTACAACAAAAACAACAACAGCAAAAATCGCTGGATGTCATCAAAGAGAAGAATACTCCTCCGTCCATTACTTCCAGCTCGGTGACGATTCCACCAGAGCAAAACTGGCGATACCGTGGTGCCGATACTGACGCTCAGAAGTTCAAACATCCGTCTTCGATACTCGGACCGAGTTACAACAATTCCGCAAGGGCACGCTACCATCAGCAACAGTATCGCAACTTCAGCTCGTACAATAACTACTACAACAATCATAATCACCATAACCATCATCACCATAATAACAATCAGTACCGTAGCGGCGGAAGTGGCAGTGGTGGTGGCAAAAGTGGAAGCGGAAGCGGAAAATCTTCCTACTACCGCCAACCGAAGAGCAATAACGAAAAAACGGGCAGTATCGAGATCCGCTCACAGCATCCGCAGCAACAATTCTGGCGAAGCCGTCGTAACAACCAATACAACGATGATGAAGACGAGCTGGTTGCCGATGGATCGTCCTATCGTCACAGCAATGGCTATACTAGCAACAACGCTCGGTAAGTGTGACACACATACAAAGAAACAAAAAGTATCAATCAAGCTGTGTTTAATGAGAGGGCGAAACAGATCGCAACAACATGCGACCTCTTTTTTGCCGTTCATTCAGCCGATCCAACGAACTTCGAGATGTTTATGCTGATGGTGTTCATTTAGCTAAAACACGAGCTATTTAGTGCGAGTAAGTTCTAGCAGGTCGAACTACAGTCGCTTTATTTACAGTCTGGCGGAGAGAATTTCTTGAACCAATTGAGCTGTCAAATAGCGGAACATAACACGAAGACTATACGTCAAACTCGGTCGAGATTTATGACGTATGACCACGAGGATTTTAGAGAAGAACAAGAACAAACGAATCTACTTCCAATTAGTGCTGGGACGAGGTCGTATTTATCGATAATATCCATATCGATCTCTGAAAACATCGATATCATTTCGATATCCGATATCCAGGAAGGAAGGAACCGAGGATGCAATACTAAGCCAAACTTTCCGAGCCGCCTGGTACAAACGTAGAAACGTACTCTTCTTACTTGTCCTCCAAGTACCGACAAAATGGCACATTTAATTCAGATCACCGAAGTCGGTAGAGTTTTACCGGGGTTTTGCACAGCAGAACAAGTCAGTTTTTGACAAATTTTGTATTTTATAAATAAATTAAGTAAACTGAACAAAGCCTGTACAAGTTCAGAATACATTTACTAATTATTGGAGTTTTCACTGATTTGCAGGAGGCCTGGATTAGTGTGTTCCACTACTCAAATAAATATCATTTTTTTCCGTACGGAGTGAGGCAACCACTTGGTTATTCATCGCTTATTATGGCGTTGAACCATTCCCTCGTGATAACTCCTTCCAATCATTCTCGTCGATTCATCACAATCAAATTCTTCTTCATTAGATCCTTCAACTGGAGCTAGAACCACCGACGGTAGTAGGACCAATATCGAACTTCGATTATTGTTGATATCGGATTTAAAAAATCGGTTATCGTATCGCGCTAATGTTGACCATCATCACAGCACTACTTTCAATTGGAGTTTATTATAGGCATTTTGCCGCAAAAATAAAGAAAATCGCAAATTGGATCAAACTGGTGTTCATTGAGACACAGGTCGAACAAGCTCGTAGTCGCTCGAGGTAGTCCGAGCAACTTCGAGCGAGTGCGAGCTCTGCGTCATTAAACACACTTCCCATGTCTCCCAATGATGTTTTACGAAATGACAAAACTCATAAGTAGAGGAACTGTCTAAACCGAATTGCACCCAGTAAGTAACATTATTCTTTGGCTTCTGCTTTTTCAGGTTACAATCGGCCATTTCGGATGCGTCGGGTAACATCCATGGCACATCTACCAACAACAATCCTAATCACCATCAGTACAATCGCGGAGGAGGAACCAACAATCGGGTTAGTAACGCCGGTGGCAACTATCGTCAGCACCAGTATCGTCAAAACGAGCTGGTTCCAGCTGGAAAGCTTCATGACGATTACACCAACGGCGGTGGAGGAGAGTTAGTAATAGTAGCAGGAGTGGGAGGAGGGCGCATGCCAACACAAAATAGAAATACTTTGAACTGTGATCCAATAACAAATAATACTACTAATAAGTATAAGCATTATCATACAAACTCAAACACAATTGTTACCGCACTGAAGCGAGAGACACTGAATGGCTACCAATCGATGATCAACCAGCTGCGCATTAGTGACCTGTATGACGACTATGGCTACAATGGCAACAGCAATGGCATAATGGTTGGTCTATCGCCACCAAATGAATCCTTGCTAATGCAGCGACGTCTCTCGCTAAAATCGCGCAGCATTTGCAGTCCATTAGAAGCGGCGGTGGATTCCATTGAACAGCAGCAACAACAAAAACAAAAACAGAATCAACAGCAACAACACAAATACCATCACCCTCATCAGCAACTACAACGCCAAACGCCAAATATGATAATCACGACAAAAAGTGGTTGAACCGTTTGCTAGAAAAAGGATTCCTCCAATTTTCTTCCTTAATTATTTACTCTCTTTTCTTTCATTCAATTCCACGAAACCAGTGGCTGTCAACTACTTCCGGCTATTTTTTTATTTTATTTTTGTCTGTCCTATTTTTTCGCTAAAAATTTCCGGCACAGTTGTCGACGTAACAACTTCTTTCTCTTCCCTTGCAATTGGAACTATTTCAAGAAAATTGTAATCTTCCCATCTTTTATCCATATGTATATTGTATTTTTTTTTATTAGGAAAGGTAGAAACCTTTTCAGAAAAAGGAAACAATTCACTAATCAGAACCAATTGTTTGAAATAAGCATTTTTTTCGCGCTATGTTATGTATGTATGTATCGAACGAAAAAAAAGATGGCAAATTGTAGGAAACATTTGAAATTTCGGTTTTCGAGCCGTTACGAAGGAAGGCTGCAGTAAGTTGAATTGTTAGGAACTGTTTTCTATACTATACAGTTTAATTTAAAAGCTACATTACACAAACATGAAGAACTCGGGAGAGAGAGCTTAGAAGACAGTAAGCAAAGAATACAATTCTTTCACCCAACTTAACGTTATAATTCAGGTTAGCTATGGATGTGAATGGTATATTGTTTTAAATAAGGAAAAGCAGCGAAGGAATCAGCTACCTAGGAGAAGAATGTTCACAAAGGTTCAATGAATGACAAAGTGCTACTTTCAAACACAAATACCTACATACAATACATATGGTCAGTGAAACGAGACAAAAACGCGAAAGCTTTTATAGGGAATACGCAAAACCGAAGCCTTATTTGTATTTGAAGATTGTTCACTGTTTCCTTGAGAAACGGAATGTACTTTCCATGATCAATAAAACTACAAACTAACAAACTTGTAATTGCAAGCATGTCCAGTCCATCCTGGAGGGAAGTCTGTAGCACTAACTAACTTCCTAGAAGTGGTCGCCAGAAGAGAAAAAAAGAGGTTCCCAAGAGTGAGTTGCTAAAGTTGTTGGAATGGAAACTGTATGTTGCTACCGAATTGCTTGCTTGAAACAAAGTCGGACAAAAATAAATGCTAAACTTTGTTACCTACACTGAGGCAAAGGAACGTTAGAATTCACAGAACCATTTATGACATTTCGACATAAGGATTTCTTTTGAAAATATAAGTTTGGCGTATGAAACTCAATTAACAAGTTAGCTTATTAAACTTAAAAAAAAAGTTATATAAAATGTAGCAGACCGGAATCGAATCCTGAGCGTTCATATTATTGACTCCGTGATTTGTTCCCACGTCTATCAACGCTTGGAAAATATAATAGGTTAAATCAAAATTGTATCGGTTCATAAGTCATCTCTTATGAAATTCTTAAGATTTGTTTGCCTCAGTGTAGGGAAGCTACGCGAAACTTGAAGCATGAATGGAAAACAAAAACCATAACATTAGAACGTGGTGCATTAATCGTTTAATTTTAACCGAACTTCGCTTTAGAATTCGGGACTTGGACAATAACAATCATTCTTAAGATTTTCCAGAATCCTGGACCGAAAAAATGTAGACCTGGGTCTTGGGACTTCGAAGACAAGTTTCAAAGATTAAAGAATTGCAAAATATCGTGATCTGAAATACCTAGGTATATATTTTTAACCTGGAGAGATCGAACATTTTGAAGACTTACAAAACGAAAACAAACCTTGATAATCGAAAAAAGTTTTGAACATTTCTTTCTCAAAGTTGTCTCGCTGGTTGAACTGGCTCCACCCCGATTGGTATAATGCGTAGTTTCGAAAAACGCTACTTCTTCCGATAAATTTTTATTTAGCATCCTTTTTCATGGGCTGTAGTATAGGTGTTTCAACGGAATATGAAAGAGCAGTTCATAAAAGAAGAAAATTGCGTTTTAAAACGTGACAACTATGCCAACTGGTCCAGTGATGGAAAAGTCCGCGAACTTCGTGAAACATCGCGATCTTTTCCAACACTGCAAATGGGTAAGGCCCACTATCTTCAATAGAACTTTGTTGACGTTGAAGTACCGCTTTCTGGGCTACAGTTCAACTGGAAAGAAGGCATAGTTTAAATTTAATTTCCCAGCAGTTGGTAGCCATGATTCTCCATGGAAACGAACGATTTTGACGTTCGGCAGTTTGTATCCAACTGAGTATAGCCGTTGTTGGTAGTTTATAGTGTCAAACAATGAAGTAATTATTTTACTTTAAATCTTGATTGCAAAATCGAGATGAAAGTCTATGGATTCGAAATGGTGCTCAGAACACGAGGCCCTACATTTTTCAAAATTAAAGAACCCAAGTGACGATGAAGCAGATCGAAAATCATCCATTCATGAGATCCCTTATGGTGTATCGTTGCTTTTCTCATTGACGACAAATTGAATTTGAGCACTGGTTTTGGACATCAGCTATCGGTCCAAAATACGACCATGGACCAAGATTAGTTCCCATAATCCTATTATTGATTTGATTAGGAGACACCATGAATATAGTAGTGGCTGAATTACATTGTATTTCCATTGATTATGTTGTTACATTTGAGTTGCATGAAAGTTTGGGTGAACTAGGTCTCTGCAAATGTTTTGTGGAAAATTATCGTTCTCCCATTGCGATTTACTCGTATGTGTCTCTCAATCTGGGACAACATTGGTTTGCTTCAATGGGAAGTAAATCACTACCATCGGTACCATATGATGATGCCTTTTGGGTGTCCCTCGTTTTTAATGGAGATAATCTATTGTTTCTGCTTAGTTCGTAATCATGCTTTAAAGAATTTGCGCCATTAAATTGCATCAATTTATCTGAGAAATTAAATAAGCTGTCATCGTTAAACCATTGACGTCTACATCTAGTCTAGTCATCTAGTGGGAGTGTCGCTTAAATAGCAAAACATCGTAAACTAACTGTCGAAATGAAAGCTTTAATTCAAAGAAAAATAAAACGCGAAGGTAGCATACGACCATCTCATGCAACTCACTCTTGTGTAGAACACACTCTATTGTTGGTTAGGTTCCGTAATTATCGGAACATATTTCACGATACAATTATAACATTTATAACAAAAGAAGGTGAAATTGCCTTTGCTTTCCATGGATCCGATGCGCGGGCATAGAGAGGAAGAGAAAATTTCATTCACGTATTTATAGGTGGCATGCAATGTGGAAGCAGTTCCGGTAAGAAAGAGTTGACAAGCCATTCAACCATATATGCCGTTGTTATGTTGAGATAAATTTCTTACGTTACGGGTTTTGGAAACGAAAAGCCACCGCCAGCATTTGTAAAACATGGAATACGTATTTGTAGGAAAACAACACAGATATAATGAATACAATTTATCATTGCAAAGAAGCAGAAATAAAGCAGAAAAATCAGAGCCAAGAGGATAAACTATTTACTAATTTATTGATTAAACCTCATATATATTAAAACAAAATCAAAGCCAACAGTTGAATATCAATTGGCCACCAGAGTAACTTTGTTGAGCCCTTGAAAGTTATTGAAAGAAACATAAAGTAGAAGCAGACGACGTTGCTATTTTCCCTGGGTGTATTAAGTTAAAATTGGTTATCATTAACTGTGGCCTGTTTTTAGAATCTTCCAATTCTTGAGTTAACACATTATTATTAATCAAACATTACATGTACTAAATCGAGCGTCAGTCTAGGCCAGGGGCTCTCAATCTGTGGTTCGCAATCAAATCATAGAGCGTCTTAATTCGGAACGAAATGGCAATGAAAAAATACATGATAGTGGTCAAATTTTGCGCACCGACTGGAGAAAAGAGATTTATTGGGATCGAATGGGCAAAAGTGACGAAATTGTCGTCATCGTCGCAATTATTTGCTTTTTTTTTCTTGTTGAGCTCCAATGGAGTTCAGAATCATAAGGGCCTAACCGCGATGATCGTTTATTTTTTTTAATTGCTGTACAGTTAAGGGCCACCCACATTAGATCCGTTTGCGTTGCGTTGACGTAAATTTGACAGTTAGACAATAGATTTAGCTGTCACTTTGCCGCAACGCGTCCGATCCGGATCTGATGTGCGTGGGCCTTTAGCAACATGTTAACATAAGAGAAAATCGATCATTGTAGATAAGGCTTAGTGATTCAGAACGTTACGTAAGGAGTTGGTAGTACCCTCTCAGACCCCAATTCAACTTGTGGATATAGACTTTGGAAATTTGGTCAAAGAGTACATTGTAGAAAATTGACGGGAAAAAAAATATTTCTACACAGCAAAAATATCATTTTAAAAACCATTTTTTTTTCAAAAACCCTATTTTTGAAAATTATGAAGCTTTTTTATACGAAAGACGACTTATTTATCTATAAGTCGTCCATAAATTGCCATTTATAGGAAAAAAAGATTTTCTATCAATAAAAAAAATCTTGTCTGCACTGAAAGAAATCTATACATTTGAATTTCATTCAAAAGCAGATGAATATTATCAAGTGCCTAACATTAAAATTAACATTACTCATGTGAAGACATCATCAAGCTACGCAAGTTAACTTAAGTGCACTTGTGATTTTTCGCAATGCAGGTATGAAAAAGTTGTTAGTAAAATTCGAGAGTTCCAATCATGAAATATATGGACGACTTGGACGATGTATGGAGAGTTGAAACGTCTTTCTAGAAACAAAAAAAATAGTTTTATAATTTTTAAAAATAAGGGTTTCAAGAAAAGTCTGTTTTTTGTGTTTTTTTTTCAGTGTATGAATGAGATATCTATGTTTATAACATTCTATATAATATATTATATGAAAGTTCAGACAATTTTCTACAGCTTTCTCTTTAATCACAATTGTTGTGTAGGACTTATTATTTTTTATAAAACGTAGAGCCCTTTTCAAATTGTAGTCCAGTTTTTTTTTCCAAGGGATAAAAAGAATGTTAAGTTGATTGACTAGACGAAGTTTGAACATTCACAAAGTTTTGAGAGGGTGCTTTAAAATGAAATTCGTAAGACATGTTCAGCCAGTTTCATCGTTAATTTATAAGAGAAACATCCTGAACTAAAAGTAAAGAGGAAAACAACACCCACATCCATTAAGTTTGACAAACGAAAATGGATATGAGTGCCGCTAAACGACGATTTAATGAGCCAAACTACAATCAGAATAAAAATGGATAGCTATAACTATTTAACTTTTGACATTTTGATGTAGCTTTATAGTAAAAATTTCATCAATATTTTCCATTCAAATCTCAATTTCTCTGCAAATCCTATAAATTTTCAAAAATCTTCTTTTGTGTCATGTTTGGTCCATCTACTTTTGATGATTTGTCATGTTGGTTGAATACGTTATTTTTTTGCCATTTCCATCTCCGACCCTACACTAAATAAAGTTGTTATGTGGTTTCTATGTCAAATTTAATTTAAGCGCGCAAGATTTAAAAGTTTCCAGCAAAATCACGTGAAAATTATGTATTCAACGAAACGTAGAAGTCCATAGAATGAAATAATCACAAGAATGTCATGTGCATTTCTGAGACATATCATTGCATGGGTTGTTGGTAAACGAAGTGGAAATTTTTTTTTTCATGAAACCGTCATCGACATTTGAAAATGACCTTAGTCGCAGTTAGGAATAATTTCTTTGGTACATTTTTCGTAAATTATGAATTCATGAAAGCCAGCTACAGGGAACCTTCCCGTAATGAGTATTGTTTGTCCTAAAGAAATTTGCGAAAAGAGTCATGTAATTTTGATGGCATTATTTCACTATTCTTCCATTATAGTGTTCCGCACTATTTAACACAGTGAAAACAACACGCTTTATGGGTGTATGACGAAATTAAGTGTAGAGGGTGCAGAAGTGGTGCAAGAATGTTGATTAATTGACAGGAAACAAAAGAAAATTAATGGAAATGGCGAATGGGTCGCCCACGGTTTAGTGCCGAATATAGAATTACCAAAAATAAATTGATGGTGATTATACTATGAATATAAAAATAGCGACACGGAACAGGTTGGGAACCACTGATCTAACACTACTTTGGTCAACTTTAATGTAGTAACTGCTCAAGAGTAACAATGGATGCATTCAAATGTGCTATCAAATTGAACACTTGGGCAATCAATTGCTTTTTCATATTTACATGTTTACTTTTACTGCACAGTGCAAACGTGCTCTAGCTAACTTAACTTATCCCAAATCAATTATAATGTTTTAATTCTAAAACAATTTCTTATTTTTAACTCAAAGATACGGATCATGAAAGAAATTAAGCAATATTTAGTAGTATATTGGACTTTGACAAAACCGTATGGAATCCTTAGAAATTTTGTTCTTAAACGAAACAAACAAGAAACTAGCATCTTGCTTAAACAAAATTTAGTAGAAAAAAGAAGAAAAAAAAACAAAGGAAACAGATAAGACTGGATTCAAAATTCCTTTTCATCCTTCCCAGATCCACACGATCACCAAAACAAAACAAAAAAAGATTACAAATGAAACCGAAGAATTCACCTTAAAAAAAAAACAATATCAAACGCAATCCCCTCTTCTTCAAATTAAAAACAGTTAGAGATTGTCATACAATCCCTCCCCCGCCTGCGGAAGAGCTGCGTGTCGTGTGGCAGAACATAATTGCCGTTAATATGTTGCTCCACCGGCGTCTCTTTTCATTTGATGATGAAAAAAAAAACACTCAAGCACACTCGAAAATCCCCTCCAAAAAGAAAACAAACAACCGTTGGCTGAAAACACAACGAACCGTTACAAACAATCTTCAGAGCGTAAAAGAAAAATGAAACGGTACTCTCCAAAATTTAATGTACAATAAGGTGAAAAATAAAAATAAAAACTTTTTTAAAGAAACTGCAAAAAAGAAGAAAAAAAAAATACACAATAAGGAAGCAAATGTGAAAGAAAAGGTAAGTTGACTAATAATTTCCAAGTTATATTTTTATAGAAAAAAAAATCAAACAAAAAATCGCAAAAAAAACAAAACACAGAAAAAGAAAAAAAAGTAATCACAAAATGGTAAAAAATACAAAAAATATTTGAAAACTGATGAAAAAAAAATCTAAACCTATATATTACTTACATTGATAAGAAAGCCCAAAATTTGATCATACAAGTACACAAAACGGAAGGTAAAAGAAGAAGAAGAAGAAAATCGCAGTGAATTATAACTAGAACCTACAAAACAAAACAAACAAAGTGAAAATAGAGAACACATACATTTTTTGCATTGTTGCCATATATATTTTTTTTATTATTGTGTTAAGATTATGCGAGCCAGCAGTGTCACTGGAGGAAAGTTGCGAAAATCTGCGCCAGTCTTTCCCGGCAACGTTACGTGTCGATTCCATAGAAGGAAAAAAAAAACGAAGCTTTTACCAATCGCGTTTTGGTTAAAGGTTAAATTTGACAAATTTTGAGCCAATATTAACTATGTAACATTCTTGTTTCCCCAGATGATTTGTTCCCTGTTTTGGGAACGAAAGAAAATTAACGAACGAAACACGAATCCAGAGAACCAGATGAGAATAGAAGAAGAAGAAGAAGATTTAAAATCATATTTTGTTGGAAGTGAAACTAAGGAGTTTTGAAATAAAATTTGTATATTTTTGCAAATCACTCAAGCTGCTGGTGTACCTTTCTGCTTTGAATTCCGAAATTTCTTCTCACTGACGAGTGCATTTCGCTTGAATTAAAGTTTCTGTCATCGCCTCAAAGTTCCGTGCCCCATACGATGATATCGAAAGCCAAAAGCTGGATGGACTGCTAGAAGATCGTACCACTCGTGTCTATCTCCACTCTTCTTATCATACCTTCCAACGCAACTTAACTTAACGTAAAACCGTAATTTGATGCCGTAACCCTCTTAGGCCGCTGGCAGAGTGAAAACTGTAATAATTGTTATACCTTTAGCTGGTCAGCTCGGTCGCCAGCTTTCATTCTGCCAGCGGCCTTAGATATTCGAAGGGACTCTAAAGTGCCCCCATACTCGAACAACGCACATCACTCGATCCATCGTCGCTGACAAATCGCGTCATACAGTGGGATCTCGGATTTTGCAACACGACACTAAGGTGGCCACTGAAGTTCTTGAAATTGCCTTGAAGTTCACGGAAGGATCTCTGAAATTTTACTTACATCGTGGTACTTGCCTACGGCTAAAAATCACGATAATAGAGAAAAAAAAGTAAGAGGTTGTATCCAAGACTCGACCGTAGATTTGACGTAGGATTAAGTGCTCGGTATCAATATTTGGTGACTATGTTAGAGAAACCACTTTTTGCAGGCAATCGGTGATATTTTTTTATTATTATAGTCACTTTAACGCTCTTGGGTCATTCGTGACTTATCCGGGGGTGAGATTTGAACTCGTGACTTTGCCGTGAGAGGTATGGATGCTAACCACTACGCCGGGGTCGCCCCCTCGGTGATAATTTTGATAACCATTGCAACAGTTGGACATTTGTGTAATTTTCAATAGTGACCTATTGAAAATTGATGAATAATAATAATAATACTAGCTCCTAACTTAATAATAATAATAACTACTTACTTGAAAACAAGCAAAAACTCACAAACAGGCTGCTTTTTCATGGTATACAGAGTGCTAATTCAATAATCAATTAATTATATCAACATTTACTGGCAGATAATTCATAAATTTTGGTAACATAGGGGAAATGGATGTAATGTCGGCTTTAATGCCCCTAACTGGGCTCATACATAAATTCAGTAATCTACTAAATTTTCAATAGCAACCAAATATTCATTAATACCGTCCCAATGACGCGTTCATCGGGATAAAATTGATAAATAAAGGGTGATACGGTCAAAATTTGGTCAAGGGAAAACGCGTGTAAATCGGTGAAATCGTTTATTTAAAAAATCAAATTAAATTTCTTTTTCAAGTTCAATTAGAATAAAATTCAGGAAAAATATTCAGTTAGGCTTCCGCTTTTCCAAATCCGAATTGCCGGGCCTTACGCTTGACCCCTGCCATCAGATTTTGTACAGCCACCTTGTCCACCTTCTTCGCCGCAGAAAGCCAGTTTTCCTTGAACTGCTGCTCGCCCTTAGCAGTTTTTTTGGTCTTCTTTAGGTTCCGCTTGACAATAGCCCAGTATTTCTCAATTGGGCGGAGCTCTGGCGTGTTGGGAGGGTTCTTGTCCTTGGGAACCACCTGCACGTTGTTGGCGGCGTACCACTCCATGGCCTTTTTACCGTAATGGCAAGATGCCAAATCCGGCCAAAACAGTACAGAACAACCGTGTTTCTTCAGGAAAGGCAGCAGACGTTTATTCAAACACTCTTTCACGTAAATTTCTTGGTTGACAGTCCCGGAAGCTATGAAAATGCTGCTTTTCAAGCCACAGGTACAGATGGCTTGCCAAACCAGATATTTCTTTGCGAACTTTGACAGTTTCATGTGCTTGAAAACATCTGCTACCTTTCCCCTTCCTTTTGCCGTATAAAACTCCTGTCCCGGAAGCTGCTTGTAGTCGGCTTTGACGTAGGTTTCGTCGTCCATTACCACGCAGTCAAACTTCGTCAGCATCGTCGTGTACAGCCTCCGGGATCGCGCTTTGGCCGTCGTATTTTGTTTATCATCGTGATTTGGAGTCACTACCTTCTTGTAAGTCGATAGTCCGGCTCGTTTTTTGGCTCGATGCACGGTTGTAGACGATACACCCAGCTTATTTGCGGCATCTCGGAGAGAGAGGTTAGGGTTTCGTTTGAAACTACCGGCAACTCTCTTTGTCGTCTCAGCGGCTTCCGGGTTTCGATTTCCCCCCGATCCAGACTTCCTGGCTGTCGACAAACGTTCCCCAAATACTTTAATTACATTTGTAACGGTTGACTTGGCAACTTTTAGCGATTTTGCCAACTTTGCGTGCGAGTAGCTCGGATTTTCGCGATGCGCGAGCAAAATTTTGATACGCTGCTCTTCTTGCTTGGACGGCATTTTGACAACTGAAGAGTGAATTCCAAAATCAAAATAGGAGCAACATTCTACACACACACACCTTCAAAATGAGGGGTGTTCAGGTTTTTTAAATGCAAAATTGAAAGAAATACGTCAAGTTGATATTGACCAAATTTTGACCGTATCACCCTTTATCAGATTTTTAGCGATGGGCCCAATCTTAGATCCAAAGACCAACATTAGAGCCATTTCCCTTACAAAAAATTCTATAATTCATATTAAATTTCCTATGTAAGCGCCGATCGAAACAAACTTTTTGACGTCACTACAAGGGTGATTGAGTAAACGAAACGGAAAACGGATTAATCATTTTGTCAAGCTTCTGCATTCATGTTCCATCAAATGTCCCTGTTGTTGTTGGCGGTGGCATCTATCGGAAACTACACATAATCGGTTTTCCGATAATTGTTCACAGAGGACAGTGCAGTGCAAAACATGTCTGGTACCTCTATATATGCATTTAGATTAACATCCGAAGTCCCTCCTTCTTTACACATTCACGGTGATTGAATGAGCACCGTTCAGTGAGACAGAATCAAATTCGATTTTTAAATCTGTGCTAGGAATGCGCAGTTTGCAGGCAATCGGTGATAATTTTGATCAGCATCGTTTGGCTTGTTTAGAATTAAAATCCATCTGCTATTGACAGAGTTATATGTGGTCAAAACCTGACCTCTTTTTGTAATGCGGTCGATTTTGGTTTTTTGAAATTGCACTCCCAATATGTTGCCGAAAGACGTAATCCTAGGTCAAAAACTTTTCTTTACTTTCTTGAGGTTTCCATAAACTTAAAACGGTCTACACTGATTGACGACTAATAAATAATAAATAACAAAGTTTCTCGCATTTCTTTCTGATGTTCATGAGACCGCTTTGAAGTTCCCACAATTTTCTTAAATTCTCACACCTTCATTGACGTTTTGGGATTATCTCTGAATCCCTTTAAAATTCCCGCATTTTTGTTAAAGCTAATGTGACTGACGTTAACTGCTCTGATCGTTCTACAGGATTCCCTAAAGTCCCTGCATTGCCGTAAACGTCTCGCATCTTCCCTGATTTTGTGTGGACATCCCGGAGGCGATCCTCAAGATTTTCGTGAAGTCAATGTGACTGTCTGGTATTCTCCGGACTACCCGGACTATCCTGAAATTCACGGACTTCGCTAAGAATCTCTAAACTTCCATGAACTTCTCTGGACATCCTTATAGGTCATAGAACTTCCCTAATGTTCCCACATTTTTTTGGATGTAGAAATACCTGAACTCACAAGATAGTAGTAGTAGCTTTCCTGCATTTCTCGGAACTTCTAAGAAGAAGCAGTTCTATGTATATTTACATTATTGTTGCTTAAGTGCTAAATTAAAGAAATTTGGAATGAAGTGCTCGGTTTTGTTCTACGTAACAACACTAAAAGCTACAAATGTTCATTAACCGTTGCCTGCGGTATATCATTCGTAGCTGTTGGCCTCAAAACTAAATCTCGAATGCTGAGCCCAGCACCCCGCCACCCGATTTTTGCTGTATAGACGATGGGTGGTTCTCTCAGCAGCTGGTACAATTCGCGGTTCATCCATAGAGGTAACTCTAAGACCACTGGGTCCCGAAGAAAATCATTATTATTTTTGGCTCACTCAGTACCAGAACAACGGTCCCAAGCAGTCCCAAGCTATTTCACTCACCCCTGCATGTTCTGCATGAATCCACACACCCCTGATGTTATCTGTCAAACTTTCATAGCGAATCAAAACAAACATAGTGTAGTAATAGAATTTCAACTAGAATAGGGTACGTTAATCGTTTGCTTGGGACCAATAGGCTACTAAAGTGGTGAGCCAATTTAAAATCGTTAGTTTCGTATTGATTGTTGGTTCATCCCTAATAAATATGTACCATACACTAACGATATCATAGATGATACGACCAACCTGTGGAAACTAACGATTTTAAATTGGCTCACTACTTGACTAGCCTATTGGTCCCAAGTACATCTATAAGCGTACCCCATTCTAGTCGAAATTCTAGTACTACACTATGTTTGTTTTGATTCGCCATGAAAGTTTGATGGATACAATGAGGGATTCGTGGATTCTCCTACACTGATAGGCAAAATAAAGTGCCCACCCCATCATTTTTGAAATTTCTCTCATTTATTTGGTTCAAATTCAAATAAACACACCGTAGTCTGTTTCGATGTCTTACCTTTATTATTCTTTTAAAGTTACACCTATGGAATACTGAAAATATAAAGTTTTACTTGAAGTAAAAGAAAATCAATTTGGATTGAAAAAGAAAACAGTGACAAAAAAAAGTGCCCACTTCAAAAATCGGTATGTTTTCGATAAGTTTCCATCGGAAAACCCCTCGATTGTTTTTGTTTTGAAAGTTTGACATGTATTGAAGCAAACGGGTGGAACTGGTGCATTTGTACACGTGATCGCATTTGAATCAGTTGAAAAAAATGGAGGACGTAGTGATTTCGAAAGCAATTCCCGTGTGTATCCGAAAATTGGTTGTTCGTGATGTGCAAAACGGTGAATCGCACCGGTCTGTCGCTAGGAAGTACAATATCAGCAAAACAGCGGTCGGGAAAATTCTGCAGAAAATGAAATCGTTCGGATCAGTGGTGGATCGCCCTGGCAG